CAGGGAAGGTGAAATTATATTCCTTAGTGATGTGGCTACTGGTAAAGAACCCCTCACCCATCCTCATGCAGTCAACCCTAATGGTGAGCTGTGGGCCACAAAAAAAAAAGAAGGAAGGAAGGAAGGAAGGAAAGGAGAAAGGAAGGAAGGAAGGAAGGAAGGAAGGAAGGAAGAAGGAAAGATGTGACAATTGCAGGGGACTTACTAGGAATAAGAAAGAATTCCATGAGAGGAGAAAGGGGAAAAGAGAAGAAAATGGAATATGTTCAAAATATATTTCAAATATGTGTCTGAAAACTGAGGACACGGGTTCTCTGGGTACTGAAGGGGGTTCAACTGGGAGGATTTGGGGGAGGGGGTTGAATATACTCACAATTCAATGAATGAAATTCACTAAGAATTAATAAAATATTTGCAAAAGAATGACCACAAAAAATTAGAAAATTAAAACTGTTGATGTCCCCCAAGGGAATGATAAACTGATGAATGGATCTGTCTATCTGTCCGCCCGTCTGTCTGTCTCTCCCTCCCCACCCCAGGAGAAGAAGAACCCCACTTCTGAGTTCAACATACAGAACCTGGTGATGACGTCACTGAACCTCTTCTTTGCCGGTTCTGAGACTGTCAGCTCCACAATGCGCTATGGCTTCCTGCTGCTCATGAAGCACCCAGACGTGGAGGGTGAGGCTGGCTCTGGGGTAGGGGATGGGGAGCCACAGAAGCTCCAACCTCTCTTCTGAGCTGACCACAACGACCCTCACCTCTCCCAGGCCTCTGAGTGCTCGGAACTGCCCTGCTATGCAGAGCCAAGGGGATGAAAATGCCTGAACGGGGTTCTCACTAGCTGTTAAAATGTTAGACATTTCCAAGTTGATTTCCCCCTGGTTGCCAGGCTCCTGCACTCTGGTTCAAGCCCCAATAGTCCTCCCTGTTCTCCCCCATTATTCTGTCATGGAAAGGATCAAATGGCACTGGCCAGCCTTTTGAATGGTCTACATTCATGTCATTTACAGACCCATGTAAAACAAGCTGGTTTACATGTTTGAACTACGGCACCTGCTCTGTGTACCCTAGACTTTTGTTTGTTTGTTTTGTTTTTTGAAACAGAGTTTCTCTGTAGCTTTGGAGCCTGTCCTGGAAATCACTCTGTAGACCAGCCTGGCCTCGAACTCACAGAGATCCGACTGCCTCTACCTTCCGAGTGCTGGGATTAAAGGCGTGCCCACCACCACTGCCCAGCATACCCTGGATCTTAAACACAACCCCCCTTTGTCCTCCAGCCAAGATGCATGAGGAGATTGACCGGGTGATTGGCAGAAACCGACAGCCCCAGTTTGAGGACCGCCTGAAGATGCCTTACACCGAGGCTGTCATCAATGAGATCCAGAGATTTGCTAACCTTGCTCCCTTGGGCATTCCTCGGAAGACTATCAAGAACACCACATTCCGTGGCTTCTTCCTCCCCAAGGTGCAGACACGCCTGCCCAGGAGGGGCCTCCATCCCACTTCCTGGTTCCTGATGCCCCTTTGCATCTACCGCTATCTAATGCACGCCAATTTCTCCAATCAAAGAATGCCCAGCTACCGTGTCAACCTCCCCAGGATCCTCTGGTTAGATTGCTGTCACCTCCCCTTGACTTGGCACCTTGGGGGATTCATTCTCGTATCCCCAACTTCTTATCTCAGGGATGCAATCCGATTTCTAACCACCCACTGCCTTGATAGCTACCGATCCCTCAACTCCTGAGCTGGGGAGGCAAAAATCTTGCGTCACTCCACAGGCCCCACACATCACAGCCCCCAATGACTCATATTCCCCAATGGACCTCCTTCAGAGGCCCCCAACTCTGTGCCTTCCAGTTCTCTTGACCTGGGACCCTGGAACCTCTGTGGGGTGTTTTCTTCAGCAACCCACCTTCTTAAATCCCCTTCTGTCTCTCCCCCAGGACACTGAAGTGTTCCCTATATTAGGTTCTCTGCTGACAGATCCAAAGTTCTTCCCTAGTCCCAAAGATTTCAACCCCCAGAACTTCCTGGATGGCAAGGGGCAGTTGAAGAAGAATGCTGCTTTTGTGCCCTTCTCCATAGGTAAGAAGACACTGGTTACTGGACCATTGTTCTCACCAAAAGGCCTAGCTCATGCCAGCTCCCCTCTCTGGGATGCAGTCTAGCATCCTTCTGCATCAAGTTCCTCTTGGAATCTAACTTCCAGCTGACCAGGTCCAACCCCCTTACTTCCCAAGCAACAAACATCTGGACACAGGTCAAAGGGTCAAAGGGACCCCTTTCAGAAACTGGGAAAAAGCAAAGCTCAAACAGAGCCTGCCATCTTTCCCGGGTCACACAAGCAGTTCTACAGACTCAACAGCACAGCATTCGTATCTGAGAGCATGATTGATAGAAGATGCATTTCAGCCACCCATTGCTCCAGCCTAGAATGGGTTACCCCACTTCGTGCATGTATAGGAAAACTGAGGTTTGGAGAGGCTTAGTCTTTCCCAGTGATCCCTCGGGATGCAGCTCTTGGGCCCCTTCTTCCTAAAAGAATGCAGCTGTGTACTAGGTACTGAGGTAAGCCAGCAGTGAGAGCTGCCCCCCTCTCTGTGTTCCTCTCTCTCCTTCAGGAAAGCGGTTCTGTTTGGGGGACGGCCTGGCGAGGATGGAGCTCTTTCTCTTCCTCACCACCATCTTGCAGAACTTCCGCTTCAAGTTCCCAAAGAGACTGGAAGACATCGACGAGTCCCCCAAACCACTGGGATTTACCAGAATCATACCACATTACACCATGAGCTTCCTGCCCATCTGATTCTGGAGTCAACCAAGGAGGAACAGAAGGGAGGGAGAGTCTAGAGTGAGTCCAGTAGCAGAGCGAAGGGAGGAGGTGAAAACGGGGGTTTAAAAAGGGACCACTTGGCTGGAAGAAACTTTACACACCTACTTAAATTGTAATGCTAATAAAACAAATAGCGTGCGTGGACAGTGGTAATAGCAGATGTCACTCACTGAGCAAGGGTTCCTTGTCCACTCTGCCAAAGTTGTCCCATCATCCCCTCACTTGGTACTTAAAACCAAAGATGAACGACATGTCCCCCTGCCCAGTTTACAGGTGTGAAGGGTAGGGCTTCCAAACTTGAGTCTAAACTCTGGTTTTATAGACGCAGGATAGCTGTGCTTGGGGTACAGGATTTTAACCCCAGCACTCAGAAGGGGATCTCTAGGAGGCCAGCCAGGATTATACAGTAAGACCTTCTGCAAAACAACAACAGAATAACTCAGTTTCTATTGAGTTGTCACAGGCCATGGAGCCCAGCTTGTACTTGACTGAAGGCAGATCAGTAGCCATGGTCATTTGGGCAGGGTTTTTTTTTTTTTTTTTTTGGCTGTTTTGATTAGGGAGTGTTTTGCTTTGTTGTTGTTGTTTTATACATCCATATGTTTGTTTGGGATGTCTTACTTACATTTACTAATTGGTGTAGTGGGTAGAGCATGCCAGGGCACACACGTGGAAGCCAAAGGACAAGTGTGTTTTCTTCTTCCCACATGTAGATCGTAGAACTCAACTCATCCCATCAGGCTTGAGCAAAGGGTTTATCCCACTGAGCCATCTAACCAGTTCATTTGGGAGGTTTCTCACGGAGACCTGGGATACCCTTGCACATTCTGAACAATCCTATCTAGTGTCTTTCTTCCACAGCCCTGGCAGGCAGCTGGTCCAGCTCCAACACACACTGTCCCACAGCCTTGCTTTCTCATACATCTCTTCACCAGGGAATCTATGCCACCCCCAGATCCCCTCCCCATGCTAGGTAAGCCTACTACGTCTGACTCAATACATCATGGAGACAGAAATGAAAGCACCTTGACAGAAATCCAAGAGAATAATGATTGGCATCATAGATTGGCAAGGAAGTATATGTTCATGCAAGAAGTACACATGGCTGTGTAATTGCCCATTCTCCTCAGCCACATGCCCATGTATTCTGCATGTGTTTTTAAAGGTGGGTCCCTTGAGCTCAGCTGCAGGACACAGCTAAAAGTGTCAGAATCTCCTGCCTGCTCCCGTGTGATTTAGTGTAAAACCTGTAGAGACTAAATCCATAACCATCACACAGTCCAAACACCTGGACACATCAGCCTGGGATCCCTTTGTGTCATAAACTAAATGCTGCTTCCAGAACTGAAGAAATGGTTCATCTGGTAAACAGATAGCCACACAACACCAGCAATGTGAGTTCTAGCCTCAGAATCCATGTACAACTATGGATAGGGTGGCACTCGCTGTGACCCCAGCTTTCCTATGGTGAGACGGGATGAAGGGACCAATGAATAATCCAGAAGCTCTCAGGCATGCTGGCCTGATGTATGCCATTGTCTTCATTAGGGTTTGATTACCATGAAGAGACACCATGACCATGGCAACTCTTGTAAAGGAAAACATTTTATTGGGGCTAGCTTATAGTTCAGAGATTTAGTCCGTTATTATCCTGGCAGGAATGGCCGCATGCAGACATGGCACGGGAGAAGGAGCCGAGAGTTCTACATCTTAATCTGCAGGCAGCAGGAGGAAGCCGTGTGCCACACTGTGTGTGGCTTAAGCATATGAAAATCTCAAAATTTGCCTCACAGTGACACACTTACTCCAGCAAGGCCACACCCCCTAATAGTGTCGCTTCTTATGGGATCAAACACATGAACCTATGGGGGAAGTACCTACTCAAACCCTCGCAGTCATGCAACGACAGAACAAGAAGCCTGCCTCAGATGTGGTAGGAGGAGAGAACTAGCCCCCTAAAACTTGTGAAGGGACCAGACCCTCCCCAGCTTTAGCAGCCATGACAGGCTGCAGAAAAGACATGTAGGCCTCTGACTCAGCACATCTGACCTTGCTGGACCTGCCCCAGTCACTTGAGGTCAGACAAACTCCATGTGGCAAGGAACCAATCAGAAGTTATCTGGCAGGCTCTGGGCATGCTTTAAGGTGAAAATGGCATAAAAGTGACTTATGGAGCATAGCCGCCCTGGGCAGGGGGGGGTAATAAGTCATAGCAACCAGTTAACACAGGACGGGCACCCACACCCAGAAGCTCACCAATCCTGAGCTGTTTTGTACCCTCTGGACACTCTCCTTACCCTAGGCAATAAATTCCTCACCTCGCGGTCTCCGTCCCCAAGGTCCTTCTCACACCACCTACGGTGCTGAGCAGTCAAAGGGCCTGAGTTAATGCAGTTAAATCATTAATAATAAAGGGCTCTACGCTGGCATGTGAGTTAGTCGTCAGTCTCATTATCAGGGAAGGGCATTTAAGGTAGCCTCTCCACTGTTGCTCAGATTGTTAGTTGGAGTCATCCTGTAGGTCTCTGGACATTTCTCTAGAGTCAGTTTTCTCTTCAAACCTATAATGTCTCCCTCTATTACAGTATCTCTTTTTTTTGCTGTGGTCTATTCATCCCCCAACTCAGTCTTTCTGGTCCCACATGTTCTCCTCTCCTCCCATAGAGCCCTCACCCACTAGCTGATGGAAACAGAAGCAGACACCCACAGCTAAACACTGGGCCAAACTCCTGGAATCCAGCTGCAGAGAGGGAGGAGTGATAGGAAAATGGGGTCAAGACCAGACTACGGAAACCCACAGAGACAGCTGACCTGAACAAGGGGGAGCTCATGGACCCCCAGACTAATATCTAGGAAACCAGCATTGGACCAACTCAGAACCCCTGAACATGGGTCTCAGTTAGAAGGCCTGGGCAGTCTAAGGGACCTCTGACAGTGGAACCAGGATGTATCCCTGGTACAAGAAAGGATTTGGGAGCACATTCCCCATGGAGGGATACTCCCTTTGCCTAGAGACAGAAGGGAGGGCCTAGTTCCTACTCCTAATGACTTGACAGATTTTGATGATCCCTCCTGAAAGGCATCATCATCTCTGTGGATGGGAGGGGGGCGGGGGACATGGAAGGGAGGGAGAGGGAACTGGGATAGATATGTAAAATCAGAAAAAATAATAAATATATAATAATAATAATAATAAGGGACTCTTTGCTTTTGCACCAGCACGGGTCTCTTGGGGATTTGGGGTTCAGAATTTGGGCACAACAGTTGCCCTTTCACCTTTGGCCATGGTACACACAATGTGACACATACATGCCCACACTCAAACACACACAATTGATTAATGTGAATGCTACATACAGACATAAACTGGGTCCTCCCTCCTCCCTCTCTCTCTCTTTCTCTGTGTCTCACATTTTCAAGACTATTGTCTCCATAATTCTTAAAATTTCCTAATTTAAATCACTCAATTTCCATTATTCTATTGCTGGCCAAGTAGGATCCGTTTGTGCTGAGGATGAGTGTTTGGCCAGAGTGCTGGTCCAACACCCCCACCCTCTCCTTGGAACTTCCTGGGTCGGCTCTGAGCATACCTAACCCGCCCCTTCATGTGGGACCATCTGGAGCCTCCCTTCACCTGACCTTTAGGCCCCTTCACCTGCCTTCTGTCTGAGGTGAGTCTGGGACCAGCCCAGGCTGAAATCCTCTCCCCACCCCACCCCCCACATCCTTTCCTGGGAATTCCCTGGGTTAGCTCCCCAAAGCAACCCCCCTATACCATTGAGTAAAGAAAATCTTAAATCCAATAAATCCTTAACACAAAACACCCAGGAAATGTGGGACACTGTGAAAAGATCAAACCTAAGAATAACAGGCATAGAAGGCAAAGAAGCCCAGCTCAAAGCTGCAGAAAACATATTAAACAAAATCACTGAAGAAAACTTTCCCAATGATCATCTCATTAGATGCTGAAAAAGCCTTCTACAAAATCCAACACCCTTTCATGATAAAGGTCTTGGAGAGATCAGGGATAACAGGAACATACCTAAACATAATAAAAGCAATATACAGTAAACCAACAGCCAACATCAAACTAAATGAAGAGAAGCTTAATGTGACTCCTCTAAAATCAGGAACAAGACAAGGCTGCCCACTCTCTCCATATCGCTTAAATATTGTACTTGAAGTTCTAGCTAAAGCAATCAGACAACAAAAAGAGATCAAGGAGATACAACTTGGAAAGGAAGAAGTCAAACTGTTGCTATTTGCAGAAGATATAATAGTTTACATAAGTGACCCAAAAAACTCTACCAGGGAACTCCTACAGCTGATAAACACCATCAGCAAACTAGCAGGATACATGATAAATTAAAAAAAAAAATCAGTAGCCCTACTATATACAGACGACAAAGGGGCTGAGAAAGAAATCAGAGAAACATCACCCTTTACAGTTTATACTGGAGACAATATGTAGAGAAGGGAACACTCTTCCACTACTGGTGGGAGTGCAAACTTGTACAGCCATTTTGGAGATAAGTATGGCAATTCCACTCCTAGGCATATACACAAATGATCCACATCCATGCAATAAAGGCATCTGTTCAACTATGCTCATTGCAGCATTATTTGTAATAGCAAGAACCTGGAAGCACCCTAGATGCACCTCAACTGAAGAATAGATAAAGAAGATGTGGCACATCTACACAATGGAGTACTACTCAGCAGGAAAAGAACAATGGAATCTTGAAATTCATAAGCAAATGGATGGAACTTGAAACCATCCTGAGTGAGGTAGCCCAGTCACAAAAGAGGAACATGGTATGTTCTCACTCATACATGGATTTTAGACAGAGAGCAAAGGATCACCAGGTACAATCCACCCTGCCAGAGAATCTAGGATACAAGGAGGATTCTAAGAGATTCATACAAGGTCCCTCACAGCAGGGGAAAGGGACAAACTCTCCTGAGCATATGGGGAGGGGGCAGGGGAGTGAGTGGAGAAGGAGTTAGGAGAGAAGGGGAGGAGAGGAGAACATGTGGGACCAGGAGGATTGAGTCAGGGAATGAACAGACAAGAGTAAGAAAAGAGATACCATAATAGAGAAAACCAGAGACCTACGAGGATAACACCAACTAACAATCTGAGCAACAGTGGAGAGGCTACCTTAAATACCGTTCCCTGATAATGAGATTGTTGACTACCTTATATGCCATCCTAGAGCCTTCATCTAGTAGCTGATGGAAACAGAAGCAGACATCAACAGCTAAACAATGGAATCCAGTTGCAGAGAGGGAGGACTGATAAGCAAAGGGGTCAAGACCAGGCTACAGAAACCCACAGAGACAGCTGACCTGAATAAAGTTAATTAACCAGTATTAAAAACACTTCTATTAACTGTTGTGTTTAATTCACATTCCTTTAGGCTTTCTCTAATGTCCCTTTCTTTTCCAGATCCCTTTCAGAATAACATATCACATTTTAAAAAAAAATCAAGTAACCACATCCTGAATTAAGTATTGTGCTGTTTAGGCAGGACATGCAGCAACCACACTTTAGGCCAGACACCCTGTTGTCAAGGTAAGACACAGAATAGCCACACCAATAGGCCAAACATCTGTTGGTTCACCTTGGAAGAGCAAGGGCAGCTAAAAACTCTGTGACTTTAAATCAAAATGAAATGGAGACATTTTTATGGGTCCCAACAACATGGCAGCCAGAAGCTCTCACAGAACCTTTCCCTGGAATGTCCTGCCTAGCTGCAACATCACCCTGACAGCATGATATCCAAAACTTCTCTCTACAATGGTCCAATATTTACGGTGGTTCAGAAACCAGAAAGCTTGAACCAGACCGATGACTCATTTGGGCATAAAATATACATAAATACATACATACATACATACATACATACATACAAACATGCACACATACTGTGTGACACACTGCAGTTTCCAATGACACTGCTGTGAATGAATATTCAATGGAGAAGTGGGAAAGATGGAGAAATGGAGTGGTGAGTGTACAGGGGAGAGATGCAGAACTAGAGATGACAGGTCTGAGAGAGAGAAGGCTGCTGTGGACAGGGGGACATGCCCTTGCTAAGTAGGGCCAACAGGGTGGTGTGCAGCATCCTGGAGCTTGCACAGACTTAGCCCCCAGTCATGCTACCCAACCGAAACATCGCCCTGGTTTTAAGCAATGACAGGATGCTTGACAGGAGCTTGAACTTCCTCAAAAGAGTTCTGTCATCCATGCTGCCCCTAAGGCCATGATGGTCTGTTGCCCCAGGTTGCAGTGAAGCCCAAGGTTCATGCAGTTGTACATAGTCCTACAACATCCAAGGACCATGTGAATGTCCACAGCCTGTGTTACCACCGAAGACCACGCAGATATCTGTGGCGTGTGCTGCCACCTGAAGCTATTTTGATGTCCATGGACCATGTTGTCACCAAGGGCCATATTGACATAAGTGGCTTGTACTCCTACCTGGGGCCATGTTGATGTTGAAGTCCATGCTGCCACCTAGGGCCATGTCCAGGTCCAGTCCTGCTGCAGCTGGAGCGGGGGGTGGGGGCTGTGTGGATATCTGTAACTGTGCCACCACTTAATTCCATGTAGATGTCTGTAGTGTGTGCTGCTGCCTAGGACCATTGCTGGTGTCTGTTGCCCATGATGCCACCAAGGTCCAGGCTGACGTCTGTAATCCATGCTGCTGCCTGCCATGTCTGGGTCCATGGGCCTACTGCTGCTGGGGACCGTGTTGATGTCTGTGGCCCACGTTACCACCAAAGGCCAGGTGGGTATTCATGGTCTGTGATGCTGCCTGAATCTATGTAGATGTCCATGGACCAGCCTACCATTGGAGACCGCATTGATGTCCTTGGCCCATTTGCCATAGACACCACGTTGATGTTCTTGGCCTGTGCCCCTGCCAAGGGCTATGATGGTGTCCAGAGCCCATGAAGTCCTAATGTCCATGGTCTGTACTGCCACCAGAGACCATGCTGAGGTCAGTGCCACATGATGACACTGGAGATCACGTGGATGTCTGTGGTCTGTGCTGTCACCAGAGACCAGGGGGAAGGCCATGGTCCAAGCTCCCCTGACTGGTATCAATGACTCCAGACTCACCATTGAGAAAGAGAAATACAGAAGGCTTCTGTGACAACCCCTAAGCCTACCCCACCTCACCCAACCAATCGAAGAGAACTGTAGTAGGATATTCACTTTGTCTCCTTCTGTGGCTGACCACACCCATTAGGGGTGGAGCCAGGGGCAGAAGTGACCTGTGGAACTAGGTCTGAGGAGGGGATGGGGAACGCTCTCTTGCTTACAGCACCGGGACAGGAGACTTCCGGAGGCATCCTTGGGACCAGGAACCTGCTGGTGTTCATCTGTCTATGTTGTGAGTTATTTCTCCCTGAATAAACATCTGTTCGGCCTAATTATTTATCCAGATCCTTATTAAACTGCAATAGAGAACTCATATTTGTGATAAGGATGTTGAAGTGTAGCTGTCTACAATTGGTGGGTTTTGATGGAGGTTCTGGTGGAGAAAGACTCAGTTTTCTTTAAGGGGCTGGCCACTTGGGAGTTTGACCATGCTCCAGTGAGTTTGTTCTTTTTCTCTTCTTTCTTATGGTTGGGGGGCAAGATAACAAGGGAAGTGGGTGTGATCGGGGTGCATGATGTGGGATTCCCAAATAATCAATAAAAAATATTATGTAATAAAAAAAAACACCATGACCAAAGCAACATGAAAGGGTTTATTTGGCTTACACTTCCACATCACAGTTCGTCATCAAAGGAAGTCAGGGCAGGAACCTGGAGGCAGGAACCGATGCAGAGGCCACAGAGGGATGCTGCTGCTTACTGGCTTGATTCCCATGGCTTGCTCAGCCTGGTTTCTTATAGAACTCAGGACCGCCAGCCCACAGGTGGCACCAACCACCATGGGCTGAGTCCTCCCCCATCAATCATTAATTAAGAAAACGCCTTGCAGGCTCATTCATAGCCTAATCTTATTGAGGCATTTTCCTAATTAAGGTTCTCCAGTGACTGTAGCTTGTGTCAAGTTGCCATAAAACTTGCCAGCACACTCGTAAATCACTCAATCTTACGAATCCCCAGGTTAGTATCTGTACCTCATAGGATTAGAGAGTGCCTTCAAGTCTCCCTGAATTCCAACATCTAGGGCCCAACAATGAACACATGTTGTGTAGGACAGCGGGATTTTAGTGTGCATCTCGTGAACTTTCAGGGATGAGTTAGAAGGAGTCCCTTCTGCTTTCTGTCTTCACTCACAGTCTCTAAATCTCTCCCTCATCTTCCATGGTTCCCCTTCCTAGTTCCATGAGCTACACATGGGTATGTATGCACCTGGCTTCTACCACACAAACAGTTCTCCCTTCCACTCTCATGTCCCATGGGTTCTATTATGTCCTCTTTCCACAAATCCCCACTTCCTTAGGATCTTTCTCCTCTTCCATAGCCATTTCCCCATTTCCCTGGTACACACACACACATACACACACACACACACACACACACACACACACGCACGCACGCACGCACGCACGCACGCGCACACACACGTCCAAATTGAACAAACAACAATAACAGAAAACATGATTTTGTATTACTTTCCTTAACTTAGTGATCTCCAGCTCTATCCATATTCTGTGAATGTCATAATTGCATTCTATGGTGTATGTATGTAGTCTATTTTTTTATACATACATCTGCTAATGACATCTAGGCTGATCTCATGTCTTGGCTATTGAGGAGAATATAGTAGCAAACATGAGTGTGTTGTGTGTTCCTTTGAATCTCGGTGGCTAATCATTGTCTTTTTATTAGTGATTTGAGACCATTTTTCTACAAATTCTATGGGAGTGCCACCCTCTGCTGATAAAGCTTCTCCTTTTCTTTTTATTAATTATTAGAATTTTTCTTCATACAAGTTGGTGGGTGTGCTGAGGTTGACAAAAGGAAATGGAAGGTTACTTATATTTAAGGCTAATTTTGAGAAGGATTTGCTTATTTTTGTAATTTTGTTAGTTTCACTATCTTTCTTATTGGTGTCTTGTTGAGCATAATAGGTTACTCTGTTTATCTATCCTCAAATGAAATTTATTCTGCTCTGAGCTCTTATGGTTGAGATTTTCTTCCCCACCCATGCGTGACATCCCTTTAAGTATTTTCTTTAATGTTGACTTGGTAATTATGAAGAGCCTAGTTTATCTGTTTTCACATGTCTTTAGTTCTCCTTCATTTTAAGGGATAGTACTTCTGGGTATAAAATCCAATTGGGCAGTCGTTTGCTTTCATTTCATGCTCCCTGGATTTTAGGGCCGTGGATGAGTGATCTGGTGTTATTCTGATGTGTTTGCCTTTCTAGTTGAGTTGGGGTTTCTTCTGTACAGCTTTTAATTTTGTTTCTTTATTGTTTTTATATTGTTTCTTTGTTTCATACTTTTGACATCTTTGCCCCGCCAGCACACCCAGAGTACTGAGCTTGGCAGAGGGTGTCGGGATTGAAACACTTAACAGACCACCAGAAGAAGTGAAGAAGAAGCTGCTGCCCTTTATTACAGAGAGTAATGAGCTTAAATACCCAATCCAGGGGATGGGCTAAGCATAGGAGGAAGTCATGCACCACCTACACCTGGGGTTAAGGCACCAGCACTGCACACCGGAAAGTTCTGAGAACAACCTTGTTTGATCAACCTTGTTTGCACGGAAGTTCTACAGCTGAGTGGGGAGAAAGAGAGATATAAGGGACAAGTACTTAAATTTCCCAACAATCTTAGGCATAATATGCTATGGACAGTTTCTTCTCTGGTCATGTGTGTTGGACTCTTAAATGTTTCTGATGTTTGGAAACATTTGGGGAATTTTCTTATATAATTTTGTTGACAGAATATCTATACTCCTTATCTCAACTCCTTTCTACATCCTTGAACTCTCAGATTCGGTCTGTTGAATATTGAATACGTCAAAGTTGTTGCAAGTGTAGGCTATGCTCATTCTTTTCTTTACTGATGTTTGAATACAACATTTTAAGATTTATTTGCTTTCATTTATATGTATATGCATGTATGTAAGGGTAATGTATACATACCTAGTGTCTGAAGAAGCTAGGAAAGAAAATTAGATGCCCTGGAACTGAAGTTACAGGGGTTGTGAGCCACCATGGAGGCTCTGGGAATTAACCCAGATCCTCTGTAAGAGCTGCTCATAACCACTGAGCCATCAACCCATCCCTGGATATACTATTTTCTCAATCTTGCCCTGTACCCCCGATATTCTTCCTTCTCCCTGTCCAGTGCATTACTGATTATTTCCACTTTGTTTTTTTATCTGCTTTACTGAGTTTTTCATTCCCAGCACCTTTATTATGGTGTTTGTTCTGCAATTCCCTTGCTGAATTTCTTTTCTACCTTGCTGTCATTTTCATCTATAATGGTTATTCCTCAGGCATTTTTACTGTCTTCTCTCCTATGTGGCTGCCTTTCCTCTCAAGGTAGTAGACAGGTTTCCTGACTGCACTGATGAATCATATCCTTTTTGAGGCCATCAGTCACATTTGGGGGGGAAAAAAAGACTTTTGAGAAGCTCATCTGACCTTTCACCCATCTCCATATCTTTGAATGCAGCTAGACCAATCCTGTTCTCCTGCTTTTCCATGTTTCCTGTGTATCTGGGCTGCAATTAAATGAGGTCTCTGCTTTCCCTCCTCCTGCTGAGGAGTCACACAGCTAGCACCATTTCCAGCTTAGCTTTCTGGATTTGGCGCATCATCCTTCAGCCTTTCTGTGCTTTCGGCTGACCTATAATGCCTTGTGGAATTTTAAAGTTCTTTCCACTCTGGATCTTGCTTTGGAATGGAGTCTACCGTTTTCCTAGTCTTCAACTAACTAAACAAAAAAATTCCTAGTCAACTATGCTACCTAAAAGTTCCTTTTATTGGTTTCTTATCTTTGAGTCAGAAACTCACAATCTAACGCTAGCTGGCCTATAACACACTACATAGCCCAGACTAGCCTTACTCCCGGCAATCATCCTGCCTTGTAATGCCCAAGTAATGCTATCACAGGAGTAAGCCCAAGCCAGGCCAATGACTTGAGCATACTAAGCCTCAATTTGTCATCTGTAGAACAGACATGAGTATAGTTCCCTTCCCCATGTGGGTTTCTGAGGACAAAGTGAGCAGACAGTGAGTTGCTTGTCCAAGGAAATTCACACAGAATTCTTGCACAATCAACAAAATTTTTAATTATTACGATTAGTGTTCAGATACTAGGGGACGGCATCCCAGCCTCTCATCCCACCCTTGAAGAACCCATCTTCAGGAAGGTGATCACTCTGCTTGGCTCCCTCTCTGTGTATAATGCGTCAAGCTCCAGACTCCCCTCTAGTTTTCAGGCTCTCCTTTAGCCCTACCCTGATTGGTGCCACCCCATTAGCCCCGCCCTCTTTCTGGGCATGCTCGCTGTCTCCACCCAGCAGAGTTCCCACTCAAGTGAGGCAGGAAGCTCATGGTAAGTTTCCGAGGAATTGTGCCAAAACCAGATGTGGGGACACATCTATGACTTGGGGTGCCTGTGGGGACTTGAAGCGGAAGTTCTGCATGATGGTTGTGAAGAAGATGAAGAGCTCCATCTTAGCCAGGCTTTCTCCAAAACAGTATCGCTTTCCTGGAGAGGAGAAGGGGTAAAGGATGGAAGTGAAGCCAGATGTCATGCTGCTTCACCCTATACCAGGCCAGCAGCTGAATTCCCCAAGAAGGGCCTACAGCACTGTCTGAATGACCTCTTTGAGCCTCTGTGCCCCTTGTGCATGAAGGGAGGTGATCCATGACAGGCTGGCACAATGGGAAGTCTAGATGCCCCTCTAACAACCAGACTCTCAAACATGACTGTTCTGTGATCACCTACTAAGACTTGCCCATGTGTGTGACTCCTATTCCTAAAAGGGGTTTGCTCATGCCTTTCCTTGGGTCTGAGTCCACCAGGAAATTGCACTTGGTCGGCTGGAAGGTAGACTCCAACAAAAGTTCCAAGCTGGATAAAGGTCCAACCCTATACTTCAGAGAGGAGAGCCAGGAAATGTTAGCTCCATGGGTGTGATCAGGAGCCTCTTACCCATGAAGAAGGGCACAAAAGCATTGCTCTTCTTAAACTGCCCCTTGTCATCCAGGAAGTGTTGGGGATTAAAGTCTTTGGGGTTGGAGAACTGGGGGTCCTCCAGCACAGAACTAAGTATAGGCAAAACATCAGTGCCCTGAAAGAGAAGAGCATTGGGAATTGAGGAGTCAAGATGGGAGATGAGATCACAGGATTGGAAGGAAGAGGAAAAAGGAAACACAGAGTGTGCTAAGGGAGGAACATTGGGGAATGTGAGGTTGTCATTCCTGGGACAAGTTCTCTTGGGCAAGTGCTGGTTTGTGTTTTCTGAGAAAGATCATTTACGCAACATGGAATCTGGGATGGGTTGTTGAGGAACGAACAAGCTTGCACATATTGATTCAGGAGGTCATGGGACTGGGAGATTCACACTCACAGAGACAGAGAGTTTGGGATGCTTGGGATTTGTGTGCCTAAGCAAGATATTTGCAGGACAGGAGACTCTTCTTCCTAAGGGTTAATCCCTGGGAAATCGTAGGAAGGCCCAGGATCCAGGAGAACAGCTCAATTTAAAGGGCATGATGAGGGGGCAAGTATATGTCTGAGAAGGAAGGACAGTTTGGAAAACTCTGAGTGGGATGGGCTATGGGACCCAAGGAGTGGGCTGAAGGTTCCTTAAGTTGGGGCAGGGCAGCACCTTGGGGGTGAGGCTGTCCTTGGTGGTGCTACGAGGCAAACCAAAAGGAATCACACCTACAAATCTCTGGATCTCGTAAATGACAGCCTCAGTGTAGGGCAACTTCAAATGGTCCTCAAACTTGGGCGGCTGGTTCCTGACAATCACCTGATCAGTGCATCTTGGCTGATTAAATATAGATTAATTAAATTAATATAGGGAATATTAACTATTAAATTATTTACTTGATAACAAATTGTTACATTCAATTATGTAAATTGAAATTTAATGTAGGGAATACAGATTATGCAAATCCCAGTGATGATGTAGAATTATGGGTGACATGTTGTAGACCATTTGCAATAGATGTTGGCCATATGTGGTGCTGGAGTAGGGTTCCATTAACCTTCTTGAACCAGCATCCATGCATTTGCAAATGAGACTTACTGAATGAACATGAAAGGACCCTTGTATGGCTGAGAGTAGTTTACAAATCAGCAGGGCTCCCCTGTGTTTTAACAGCTAGTAAGACTCAGCTTAAGATGGATAGTTTGCAGGGATAGACTAGCACCCTGGGACCTCCACTCACACTGAGCTCCAGACACACCCTTCTCTAAACAAGGCAACCAGTTACACGCATCCCAAAGACCTAGAGCATCACAATAGCAACATTCGTGAACATGAACTAGAGCCAATGGGTCAATCAGCCTGAATAGGTTCTAGGCACGTGCTGAATAAAGCAAATTGTATCTTTGAGTGAACTTTTAGAGAAAACAACCCATTTACCATCATCCATAATTAAGGCTACATACACTGTGGGAAATGACATGCCTAATTAATAAAGGTTTGCATAACTCAAGCCTGTTAATCAAAGCACAAAACCACCCAACTATACCCTACCTCTACCAACTAACTCTTCTTCCTCAACCCAGAAAAGGAAACCCCGGGCAATAACCAAGACTCCTCCTCAGCAAATCCTGTCCAGCCCATTGCTCCTCTGCAGTGTAGCTATTCCTTTAGTTTTCCCCCTGATATGCAAAGCTCCGTCAAGGCTTTGCCATTTATCATACTAAGAACCTGGAGATGCAGGTCAGATGCTGCCCGGCACTCGCAAGTGGATATCTATCACATCAGTCTTGCTCCTGTCTCTGCATGGCAGTGACCTGGGAGAGCTGGGCTTAGGGTAGCCACTTCTAGCAAGTTAGGGAGGGGAGGATGTGGCTTCCATGTGCCCTGCAACCTTACCTGCAAGGTCAGGGTTTTTCATTAGCAGCAGAAAGCCGTAACGCATGGTCGTGCTGACGGTCTCTGTACCTGCGAAGAAAAGGTTCATTGTGGTCATGAGAAGGTTCCTCGTGTGAAACAGTCTGGGGGTTCTTCTTCTCCTACAGGGAGAGGTGCATTTGTGGTAAGTTCATTATCACTCCTCAGAACTCTCCCTTTGATTCACTTATCTTAGGTGCAGATTTAACATGGGAAGAGAGACCCTGACCAACCAGCTCTCCCCAGATGCTGGATCTTCCCAAGAACTTCTTCCTGGGTCTTTCCCTGGGTCCTCATGCCTGTGCAATACAGATTACAAAAATCCTTCTCTTATTTCTCAAAGATGAAAAGTGGACATGCCTGTGAGCACAAGGCCTCCCTGTGGTCAAATTTTAAAACAAGGTCACGTATCCACATGGGTGACTCTGAGGGCCAGGGTAAGGGAGATTAGAGAGAATTCTGGTTGGTTGAAAGACCCTGCCTTGGAACCAGAGAGACCTAACCTCTCTGGGTTGCATTTTCCCAATTCTAGACCTAGGATCAGAGTGGAATGCGTTCCAAGCCAGTGTTGGTTCTAATTAAGTGAATACTGTCCAATACTGACAACCAGTGCCTAGCACCGGGTGGTTCTATGGCAGCTCCTGGTGTGCTCCTTTGCACACACGTGTCCTCTTGCATAAAGGCTCAGTAGACGGATGAGTGGCACTAATTGCGAGGAGAAGATGAGGATTACTATGCTGGGCGCTAAGGTGTGTGACTCCCCCCCCACACACACACACCCTGTCCCACCCAACCCCAGGCTTTGAACCATCCACCAAAGCTACTGGGAGCACCTCCTGCATGCGGATTAGAAAGGAGTCGATGAAGTCCCAGGGAGAATTGGGATCCAGGGTGCGCTGGTTCTGTTCCACCTTCCTGGCTATGCAGTCCTCCAGTCCCTGCAACTCTTTATAAGCCTGGTGGTGGCATCCTGGCAGGTGCTTCATCGCTGAATAGAACGTCTCAAAGAGCTGTGATGGGAGAGAGGAAATGATGGGAAGACCGTTGTCAACAACAGGACCCAAGAGCCACAGGACCCGACTGGGAGCAGAGAAGGCTTCAAAACCTTCCCCTGGTTTCCAGGTATTTAACTGGTGCTTGAAGGGAACACAATTATGTTTCCATGTGGGTTTATCCGTGCATTTGGGGTAAAGATGGAGTGGAGCATATCTACAGCATCAGGTATTAGGGTAAGGACTGTTAAAGGCAGAAACCTGTGTCCATATTCAAATGAGGTTAGACAGGAAGACATCTTGGTGTACCATTGTTGGGTGGGTTGCTGGCTCTCAGGAAGGCCAGGCTGACACAGCTTTCCAGATAACTTTGCATTTGGGTTGTGGATTGCTGTGCATGTGTTTGGACAGTAAGTGGGGTTGTTTGCCATTGCTACTCTGAAGAAAATGTGGGTGCACGTGTTTGGGTTTTCAGGTGCACTGCCTTGAGCACTTCCTCGACGTTCGCTGAATGGCCCTGGCTAGAAAACACATCTGTAGGTGTGTGTGGATAATCAATCCAGGCCCTTACATGTTGGGAGTTTCAGTTAAGGTACCTGTTTGGGTTTTTGTCCCTCTACGTGGACTGACAAGGTAACACTTCTATGGATATGCCCAGATGCATTTGTGATACTTATATTAATTATTGTCTGTGTGTCTGTGTGGGTGTGTGTAGATGATTGCAGTGCCTAAAGTGTCAGATCCCCTTGGAGCTGCAGTCACAGGCTGTTGTGAGCCACTTAAAGTGGGTGCTGGAAATTAAACGTGGGTTCTCAGCAAGAGCAGCACATTCCCGTAAACCCTGAACAATCTCTCCAGCCCCCTGTCTGGGTATTTCAATGGACCAGTTCAGGACATATGTATGGGGGACATAGAGTTGTGGTGTGTTGGATTTCATAGCGTCTGATAATAATGTATGTATTAGGGGCCTGAGGCACCCACTTCTCTGAATGTGGAGTCTTCCAGAAGGGCTCTGTAATAGCAAATGTCAGAGATTAAGGTGACTGGGGAGGGGGCACTTGCTCCAGAAGAAGCCTGGATGGAAGGGCTGTATCTAGTTGCACACTCCAACTTGGTTGGCATCTGTTGAGATAATCAGTTGCCATGGGGATTCTGTATTGGTACCTTTCTTAGGGTTTGATCTCACTAGTTAGTTGTTCACGATGGGAGCATATTTGAGAAGGTCATGTCCAGAGAAAGATGTTCCATTGAGGCACTGGTGGCCATGTCAGGGTTCAGAGGGAATATTTGGTATGGGGTCCAGCTGAGGCTTGAACTGCTTACCTGTCCAGCTGAAGTCGATGTGAACCAGAAACTTCGCAACATCATGCCCAACAGTGACAAGAATTCTTTGTCGTCGTACTCAAAGCGGTCCCCAAACACAATGGAACTGATGACATTGGAGACTGTTCGGCTCATGTAGAAGGTAGGGTCTATGCTGGCACCTGGGAGGCGGGCCAGGGTTGAAAGGAAGAAGTTCAGGGAAGCCTGTCTCAGTTGATAGTGGTATGAGCACTAGAAACTGGGTACCTTTCCCAAGTCCCCATCGTCTGTCCCAGCACGTCACTCTTCAGAATCTGCTGCTTCCTTTACCTGGCCCGTGTGCACCATGACCCCCCCCCCAGCTCACCTTGTGTGTCCCGGAAGGCCTGTATGAGAAAGCCTCCTCGGTGATGCGCTCCTCAATGCGGCGTTTACCAAGGCCGAAGTCCCTCAGTGTGGCGATGGAGAAGCGCCTGAGTTGCTTGGCTCATTCCCCGGAGCTGAACACCACACCTGGGGACCCAAACCCAAGCACAGGAAGAGGTTAGAGGGGCACATTTGGGCAATACAGCACCTCTGAGCAGGTCCTGGAGGGTGTGGGGTTGGAATGGGAGAGGTGGGTAAAAGAAAGAAGAAAGCCAGGGAAGCTTGAGAAAGACCCAATTTCAGAGCGAGTGTCAGAGGCATGAAATATTGAGGAAACAATAACAAAAAGGAAGAGGCATTGGAGAGGTGGCTCCGCAGTTAAAAGGGCACTAGCTGTATTGCTAGATGATCGGAGTTTGTTCCCAGATTCCGTGTGTTAGTTCGGAGCAGTCTGTACTGCAGTTCCAGGGAATCTGATGGCCACTTGATAAAGAAAACGATAGGCAGAATCTGGAGAGAATTCCATGTGTTCCTGAAACAGGCAGACACTGCGTAAGATTTTCACGGAGGAAGAAGACACGGGGAGGAGTCACAGGAAAGCACATTGCTAAGGATGATTAATGAGAAGATGCTCGGACGGAGCTGAAACAGTAGGTTAGGAAACGGGGTCCCAACAGGCACCGAGAGTTCAGTTGATATCCCTGGGAGGCCTGTTCTTTTCCGAACAGAAACGGGAGCAATGGATTTGGGGGAGGGGGGACAGGAGGGAGGGAGGAAGGGAGGGTTCGGCTGGTGTGTGCTATATGACAGAATAAATAAAAAGAAGAAAAGAGCCGGCACAGTCTGGGCTTAAGGGATGGCTCCTTGATCGGGAGTATACACTGCTGTGTCTAAAGACAGAGTTCAGTTCCTAGTTCCCCAATGGCCTGTGGGTGCACACTGGCTCTGTGTGATCTGGTGCCCTCTTCTGGGCTTCATAGGCACACACACACACACACACACACACACACACACACACACACACGAGAGAGAGAGAGAGAGAGAGAGAGAGAGAGATTAAATATAGCAAACTCTTTTTTTAAAAAAAAGCCAGAGATTAGTGTCCCATGCTTTTAGTCCCAGCAAGTGGAAGGCAGAGGCAGGCAGATCTCTGAGATCAAGGCCAGCCTGGCCTACAGAGTGAGTTCCAGGACAGCCAGGACTACACAGAGAAATACTCACCATAGCCTTTGAAGAACCAGTCCAAGAAAGCTTGCTGTCCTCAGTCACTGAACTCCTCAGCTTGGTCAATCAGAGCCTCTTTCACTGCATCGTAACCCCACAGCACCACAGCAGGACGAGGCCCCAGGTGGATGGTGAACACAGGACCATACCATGCCCTGATCTGTGGGATGATGCCAGGAGTGAGAGAGGCCACTCTTTGGACTGCCAATGTCCTAATGTAAGGGACTTGGATGCATACCCCTAGGTCCCCAATCCTATGTCCACATTCTGATCTAGTCAGTCTTGGACTCCCAGACACTCCAGGGATACACCACACTCAAGCTCACTCATCTCCCTGCCCAGTTCTACCTTTGAAAGGGAGTCATAAAACCTCTCTGTGTCCAGTTCTAGAAAGTTCCCAATGAAGAGCAATGGGGTGTGTCCTGGAGACATCTTCCCCAACAGTCTCCTCTGCCTCCACACAGACATTATGACCATGATGCTGAGACAGGTCAGCATAGCCACCAGGAGCATCCCTGAGGTGTGGAGTGGGAGGGACAGGTAGATGATGATGGAGGACAGTGTCTTTATACTCTAGGCTAGAGGAGCTGGCTTTGGCTCCTGCTTAATAATTATCTCATTTTTTTCCTCCTGTTGCCCTGACATGCAACTGCCTTGCTTATAACACCAACTGCAAGGAAGGAGGAAGGCTAATCTCTGGGCTGGTTTTCAGGTAGTGGATCCAGGACAGAAGAAAGCATGCCAGGATTGTGTAATGGAATGAGAGTGTGGATTAGGAAATGTCCGGAATTGACGAGATAATTACATCCACATGAGAAGCATCTAAATAGAGGGTAGAGGGTCTCAAATGGAGAAAAGAATTCACAGACATGAATTTAGGATTTTAGGAAAGAAGCCAAGGGCTTGAGATTGATTGAACAGGGCATGTTGCTGTAGGATAGGACACTTGGGTGGGAAGGCACATAAGATTCTCCGTATTAGGAGGGGAGATACAGGGTCACCATTTGTAGAGTTAATAGAGGATCCAGACCTGCAGGTGTAGAGTTCCTGGCAAGTGACAAATGCAGAATGTTCAATAGGACCCTGCAGTCAGCACCAGGGTCCAAGTGTTCATCTTTACTTTGGCCCTGCACTGTCGTCCACAAGTTCTCAAAGAAGCTGCAAAGTCAGGCCATGATTGACACAGTGTAACCATATAACCAAGACTTTCCAAGGCCCACAAGTGGAGGGGAGGAGAGCTGGCCAGAGTAACAACTCCCCTACACAGAATTGTAGCAAGGAATGTACCAGTTGGCAGAGGGACTGACCTGGTCTTACAGAGCAGTGATACCAACCAACAACCACCAAAACTGCCCCCAAAGTTTCCTAATTAGTTTTTGGTTGAATTAGGTTTTAAAATTGCTCACACAATGGTCATTTGACCAATTGCCTTCTATGTAAAGTCCTGGCTACTTGCAGACTTTCAAACAAGCCTCTGTATACATGAGACAAAAAAAAGAAAGAAAGAAAGAAAGAAAGAAAGAAAGAAAGAAAGAAAGAAAGGAAGGAAGGAAGGAAGGAAGGAAGGAAGAAAGAAAGAGAAAAAAACAAATCAGTGTAGAGACACTTAATTGGTCCAGGTACTGGAACAGAATATGGAATGTCAGCCCTAAATAAATGGGGCATCTTTACCAACCATACTTGTGAACTCAGGAAATCCCTTCCCTTTGCTGGCCCCAGGGTCCCATGTGGCCGGATGGTTGTTATTGGATGGGTGGTAAAAACCATGATTGAGGCTAGGGTTAGGATCTTAATCTTGTCCAGATGTTGCTATGTGCCCCTGAAAAGGTGACCTTATTGGTTGAGACTTACGGGTCAGTGACAACATCTTCTTCCAGGCTATTTCGATGGATCACGGACTAGTAGGGCCATGCAGGTCACCAGCAACAGATGTGCTCAGTAGACAGCTGTTTTATTTTTGTGACTAGTGGAGTTTATTAATGTGAGGGTGGAAGGGATTTTCCTCATGGTGTGCCCTGGCTTTCACCTCCTCTAATCTAACTATCGCAAAGTGTCTCCTTCTGGAAGGTGAGGAAGGAGACAGGGAGATTTTCAAGGCAGACTCACTCCTCGCCTTTCCTCATGCAGCCGAGGCCACCTCTCTGAAGCGAGGGCAGGAAGCTGTCCTTCCCAGTGGATAGACAGGAAGATGGACAGGACAACTGGACACCACAGAGATGCAGAGGGGAATGGGAGAGGAAGGGAGAAGACTTGCAGTTGTGGGAAAAGAGAGAGAAGTGGAAGGCCATGGTGGTAAGTATGGTAAAAGGCATGGCCTGAGTGACTTGAGTGAAAGGAACGGTCTTCATGAAACTATGTGCAGTTATTCACGCCAGCTCACGGGATATAAAGCTGAGGAGAAATCGGCAGCTGCTGGGAAAGGGAGAGCTGTTCCCTTTAAAGTCAACCATGCTCCAGAGAATACCCACTCATCCAAGAGTGTATGGGAAGCCACCAAGTGCGCTTGGATGGCTCAGGCATTAGGAACACTTGTTGTCCTTTAAGAGGATCTGGGTTCCACACTCAGCATCCACGTGGCTGCTCAAGACTGACTACAATTCCTCTCCCAGGGGATCCAATTCCTTTTTCTGATGTCAGTGGCAACCAGGAATGTGCATGGTGTGCATACATTCTTGCAGGCAAAATACTCATGCATATAAAATAATTGGATAAAAGTGCTAAAAGAGTACATGGAGCTGAACGGGTAGGAGAACTGGGGTGGGTCTGGAGGAATTTGGGAGGAAAGAATAAATAAGACAAACATATGAACTTCTCAAAGAACCAGCACGAAGATGTACAGACCGAATAACATGAAGACAGATACAGACGGACACTAAGCAGTAAATGATACCAATAATGAGGTCAGAAGAGCAAAACAGAGAAGCAGGGACGTGGACAGAGGCCACTGTGGGTAGACAGCTACTGACACGCACAGGAGAGTCAGACAGGGGAGAGTGAGAAGGCTGAGTGGAGACACCACGAGACGCTGTAGACAGGGAGTCAGAGCTCTCCTCTGTGTCCTACTCTTCTCTATCCTCCTTTCCTCCACTCAAGCCTCCTCTCTGTCTCAGACTCTCAGTGCTCATCTCTTCCCTTTCCAACACTCTGCATTTCTGATTCTGTTTACTCTGCTGGAGCTCATGGGTGGTATCCCCATGGCTGTGCATCCTATGTGTCAAGCTTGGTGCCCAGGGCTGAGTGGAAGTTGCATTCAAGACCCAACAGGTGGTCTCACCCTGCCCAAGTTCAGCATCTGAACAGCAGGAACTGTCCAGGGTCCTATGGCTGAGCTTGGAGATGTAACATGCCCACAACTGGGGACAGCCCTGGGGATGAGTCCTCTACCTCCTTCATTTCTCCAGAGTTGAAGATGATGTCCAGAATGGAGACTCACTGATCGCCCTTTTCAAAGTTGTCCAGTAAGAGCTGAGCAAACCCTTACTTCTCAAAAGCTATCATCATCATCATCTTTTGTGAAGCTTTACAACAATGAGAACTCCAACCCAGTGGACCATTGGCTTCTTTGGGTCTTTAGGACTGGAATTCAGCTCTGCGTGTTTACGTGGGACTGTATGGCACCCGCTCTGTTGGATTTTCTAAAGGACTCTGTGATGAATAAACAAATTGAGGGAGATTCCTGTGCTGGTAAATTGCAACACAGCTGTGAACCTTGGCAGATGGGGCCTTTCGTGACTGCCTTTTGGCAAATTCACAATCCCTTCCAAAGCATCCTAGGCCAAAAGGACTGAACAGCAGTGGGATTTGGCCTGAGGTGTCATTGCCAACCCTTCCTTAGTGTGTCCTCTTGATCCAGGGTCAGAGAAAAGAAAGGACTTGAGAAAGGGTCCTGCAAGCCTGGAGTTCTGGTCTACCTGCTGTGAGCTGCACTCTCTTTTCTTTCTAATGTGTTTGTGCTCTGGCAGGCAGCCTGCATTGTCACACAAATATGCTGCCAGAAGCAGTGACTCAGCTGAGCTCCATCCTTGAGCAGTCTCCTCCTGCATCCTCCTGGGATCTGCTGCAAGAGCACACACATTGAAAGTGACCTTGGCCAGAATCCACCTTCTCAGCTGCATGGGGAACAAACTCTACTTTTGACTTCAAGCAAGTTCACGGAATAAGATGCAATACATTTGAAAGTGTTGAAACTATACAAAGATCATTTCTTGCCATAATGAGTGAATCAGGACATTAATAACCAGAGAAACTGAAAAAGTGGTCAATATGTGGGGGGAACCCTAATTAAAATATCCTCTGTGGTGGAGAAATGAAAATTCAGTGTCTTCATGGTATGCCATGAATCTTTTCCTGTATGCATCCATTGTGAAGTGGGTAAATCTTGAAACGTGACATAACAGAGTCTCAAACCTTGGTGCATGGTAGATGAAACCACAAGGAAACGTAACATGAGGAGAGGGGGAGCGTGATGAGTAAACCTGAGATGCATGTCACCTGTTTCTTTGCACGGAGAAAAACATACATTAAAAAAAAAAAAAAAACCTGGACTAAAAACAAAGCAAGTAGTTGTGGTGGTGGCATACGCCTTTAATCCCAGCACTTGGGAGGCAGAGGCGGGTGGATCCCCGTGAGTTCGAGACTAGCCTGGTCTACATGAGCTAGTTCCAGAACAGGCTCCAAAAATCGCAAGTTCCAGTTTCTGCGTTTTGTTTTTGTTTTTAATTACTGTGTCACTTTTTTGTTCAGGCTGCTCTCAAACTCCTGAACTCAAACACTTCTGTATCAGTTTCCTGATGCCGTGATCCCAGGCATGAGTACCTGGCTCATTAAATAAACAGTGAGAATGACATTAACACCATTACAATGTCAAATTGTGTAGGGTCTTGATTGTACGGAAAGATCAACAGAATCTGCATCACCTCAGAGCTTTGATGTCAAGGACTGGATCAGAACAATACATGGGACATTGTTCTTGATGTCACAGAAATAAGAAGCGGGTGTTGGAGGATGACTCAGCAGTTAAGAGCACCTGCTGCTCTTACAGAGGACCAGGGTTGGCTCCCAGCACCTATGTGGCAGCTCACAACCACCTGTAACTCTAATTCCAAGTGAACCAACCCGTCTGCTGGCCTCCTCAGGCACTGCATGCATGAGGAGCACAGACAGATAAATGGGCACATGCATGCAGGTAAATTAAAGTATAAGTAAGCACTATTAACCACTAAAAAATTTTAGCTGGGGTAAAGGTGATGCGGAACTTGTGGGAATGGCCAACCAACAACTGGTCCAACTTGAGCCCCATGCTACCAGAGGAGCCCACACCTGACACTGCCTAGATGGCCAGGAACTAAAGGCTGGACAGCCCAGAGACATAGGATAGACCCAAACATAACCGGCAAAAAAAAAAAAAAAAGTCAATGAAATTCTTCCTAATGATACTCTGATATACTCCTAGACCTTAGCATAATCGACATCAGATTGGCTCCATCCAACAATTGATAGAAGCAGATGCAGAGACCCACCGCCAAACATTGGGCAGAGCTTGGGGAACCCCCAGGAAAAGGGGGAGAAAGGAT